TTTCTTACTCACCGTATATATATATATATATATATATATATACACACACACACACACATTATATAAATGCGTATTTGCTGAATGCTGATGGTAAACGAGAAAATATTATTGCCTTTCTATTACTAATAATATAAACGCAATCGCTATAATACTTTTTTTGAATACCTCCTTTGTTCAGAACTGTTAAACGGTGACAGCAAACAATGAAGTGGGAGAATGTGAGAGCTGTGTGCGCAGGCGCTGGTGTTCTCAAAATAAAAAAAAAATAATAAAAGTCCCGTCTCAAACACATCAGCCAAACAGAAAAACTTATCGGCCGATGCTGATATTTGAAAAATGCAGATATATCCATCTTGGTGATATATCAGTCGACCACTACTAATCATACATAAATACCCTTGAAAAAAGTTAGATTTCCAATTGTTTCCAACTTTCTAAAATTGAAATGTTGTTTATTGGAGCAGCGTGAACCTAGACTTCATTAAAAGTCTAGGCCTAATTCACACCATAATAAGTCGACTGTTTAAGCAACAGTCTGTTCCTGTCTCCAGGCAGTGGTTAAGTTGTCTTTCCGCATTCAAATGATGTTTCTCATTGATTTCATTGTGCTGGGAAGGATGAAGTGCTTGTGGAACACAGAATGACTTGACAACAGACAAAAACACATTTATGCCCATATATAGAATGGCAACATTCCATCAGAGAGACCTGACACAGACTCTCAGCACTTGAATTCACTCCCACTGAAAACCCAGGAAACGCTCAATTCAGGAGTGACGGTGCTCCAGAAAGTGCTGCCAGAACCATCAGCGGGGGGATTCTGAAACCTGAGGTCACAACCTGCCCATTTACACTGATCAAATGACTGCAGTCATGATTTACTATCAGAATCGTGTTGTAACGTATTTCATGCTTGCTTTGATCTTTTGAGGACACATTTGCAGAGCACTGCCAAGCGGAACAAAGAAATACCAGAAGTCAATTTGATTCCAATAAGAGAGAGAGAGAAAAAAACTAAAACTGTTCTGCAATTCTCTAAGGGGAATGACTTTGGATATTGTTTAGCAAATGGCAACGGCATAATTTGTCTTTGTACATTCTCGAGCAAACCACAAGGAACAAGGCGAGACTTCCTGGAAGACCAGGCTGCCTCCTCTCTCCACTCCTTTTCTCTGCTGCTGAGACAGCAAACAGGGATTCCCCCGCTTCAGGATGACAGTGTGGCATTGGATTGATGAATGTTATTAATATTTCACTTTTTCTGAAATGTATTTGCATAAACGGAACGTCAAAACAAAAAATGCTGACTTTTCCATTTGTTAGCAAAGATGTTGAGAAACTGAAATTGAGAAGGAAACAGATCGCAAAAACTACAACAGAATTGTTTTTGCTTTTAATAGATTTACAATAAAGATGAATATAAAAGTACATACGGGAAAATGAACCAAAAGGAATTAATTCCGCCCACTACCAAGCGACCTTACATGAACTCACTGACCTTGAATGAATGAGACCATCTTTTGTTCCCGAGTGAGACGATGGATATTTGCCAGACTAAATTGAGCCGTTTTACATGATCACGAGGTAAAATGCCTGCAAATAAACATAGTAACAGCTCAACCCTCAAGGTTTGATGGTCATTTTCTAATCATCTCAGTGAAATCCATCATTGCTCTGTGGTTTCTTTGATCTTTCATTATACTTATGTAAAGCTGTAAGAACTAATCGATACTTAAAATATTTTTTAAACAAATTTTGTCATGGTTAAGTCGAGTCTTTGCACTATGCACACAAAACTTTTATCAGTGACACCATGTAGTAAAAAATTTCCATGAAGAAAAACGTTTAGTCATATAATCTTATAATGCAACCATTTGCATTATGCAAAACAGTGCAACCTCCAAGCAAGTGACCGATTATATGCTGCTTTTGTTGTTATATACTTCATGGCCAATAATTCTTATTAAAACAATATCAGTTGTTAACATCAAATTTAGTTATTATTCGAAACTGTCTCTTTGTTGTTTAAATTGCTAAATATCACTTAAATATCATCATATATCTGAAATTATCTGATATTGTCAAATTAAGCTTTTTTGAAATCCTGTAGGCAGTGCACATGAACATTAACTTTAAATGGTTTCGCTCCTTTTAAACTGTGAAAAGCTTTTGTAATCACTTTATATTGTCATTTTCATTTATATTGTAATTCACTTTATATTGTCATTTTTTTAAATCATTTGGTGATCTTTGGGCAAGATGTAGTATATCAGAAATAACTAATGAATTAAGCATCAAAATAGCTGTTAATTGCAACCGGACCCTTATATAAGTATATTTAAGTATTAATGCTGTCATATTGTTACTTCATGAGCAATGTGTTTAATAATAGTCACTTCTGCATTTACAGGAATGCAATGTGGTCGCAAAGAAGGCACATAAAGAGAGGAAAATCTTTGCATTCATTTCCATCCATCCTAAATCCCACCGCTGTTTCATCCACAGAGCAGGCTGACCTGAACTCCATAACCTAAAGTGCAAAAGACAAATCCTGCAATGCTTCGACACTTTCCAGCCCTGTGAACGGACAATTTCAGTTCTGTTTGGTTTTTGGATGTGGCTCTCTGTAAAACCAAGGCTGCTTTGAAGACTGCTGAGGTGTCTGTTTGGGTTGGGCTGAACTGGGCAAAGATGGTAGAGTTTCCTAAAGCCTTTTTTCCATTTGGCAGGCGCCACCATGCATTGTCAGCATAAACATTCAACAACCAAAAGCTGGAAATGACAAGAAAACGACAAAATATATCCTCTGTGCCTGTGATTTACAGTAGAAGAGCTTTGAAAATCATTGCCGGGGGGGAAATAAAGACAGACCCGGTAGAGATGAGGTGGCAACACTCATCTGTGGGGACCACCAGAAATGCATCATTTACTGTAAGCCTGCGTAAACGTTTCCTGTATGAAATACAAGGAAAAAAGATGCACCTGCAAGACAAGCTGGTGGCCGCACTCTGGTGTAAGATGAGTAAAGCTGGTGTGTACGAGTGAAAACACACACAACTACACTAACACTCCCATACTGTAATAAAGCCTCATTATTACGACAATGTGTCAGGTTACACCACAGCATGACACTTATTGAACCTTCCTAAGCAGCACTGATGGGAAAACTGCAGACAAGCCTGAAGCGTCACTGCCAGATTATCACATCAAGCTTCCTGATGTGTTTTATGTCCTATTTATTTTGTTTAGTGAAGAGGAAGATAAAGATCAAGGACAGAGATAAAAGAGATGGCAAAGGAGAGGAGAAATAAAATTAAAGATGGAAAGAAAAAAGAAAGATATTATCTAAAAATACAAGGAAGAAAAATGGCAAACAGAAAGAAGGACCAAACAAACAAAAGAAAAATACGAACAATGGCAAACTAAGAGAAAGAAGGAAAAAAACTGAAAGAAAGATGGCAAACGAGTGAAAGGAAGCAGGCAAACGGAAAGAAAAAAACAGGCAAACAGAAAGAAAGAAAGCAGGCAAATGGCCTAAAGAAAGAAAATATGTCACACAGAAAGAAAAAGAAGGGACAAATGAACAAATGAAAGAATAAATGAACTACAAGAAAGTGGGTAACGACAGAAAGAA